ACGTTCTGGGGCTTTTTGGTTTTGTGTTGTTTTTTTTTTTTTCTTTTTTGAGACAAAGTCTCACTATGTCGCCCTCAGTAGGCGTCACAGCTCACAGCAACCGCAAAGTCTTGGCTTAAGCAATTCTCATGCCTCAGCCTCCCAAGTAGCTGGGATTACAGGTGCCCGCCACAACGCCCAGCTATTTTTTGGTTGTAGTTATCATTGTTTAGCAGGGCCTGGCCGGGCTGGAACCCGCCAGCGCCCTACTCACTGAGCTACGGGTGCCCAGGTGTTTTTTTTGTTTTTTAACAGTTGGTTTGTTTTTTGAGACAGAGTCTCCTTGCTGTCACCTGGGCTAGAGTGCTTTGGCGTCTTCATAGCCTACTGCAACCTCAAACACTTGGGCTCAAGTGATCCTCCTCAGCCTCTGGAGTAGCTGAGAGATCAGGCCTGACTAATTTTTTTCTATTTTTTATGGAGATGGGGTCTCCACTTGCTCTTGGTCAGGCTGGTCTAAGGCTCTGGAGCAGTTTTTCATTCCTACTTAAGCATCTACAATTCTGTTAAAGTTTTGCCTTTCTTCCTTCTAGTTTCAAACAATATATTTCATGTCTTATTACTTCTTCCCCCCCCCCCAGACAATCTCACTCGACTGCCCCAGGCCTTAGGCTAGAGTGCCTGGAAGTCACAGTTTACAGCAATCTCAAACACTTGAGCTCAAGAGATCCTCTTGCTTCATCCTCCAGAGTAGCAGGGTCTGCAGGCATCCAGCACCATACCTGGCTAGTTTTTTACTATTTTTAGTGGAGACTGGTCTTGCTCTTGTTCAGTCTGGTCTGGAATTCCTGAGCTTGAGCAATCCACCCACCTCCACCTCCCAGTGCTAGGATTACAGGTGTGAGCCACAGTGCCCAGACATTGTCTTATCACTTCTGCCCAGGAAAGAAAAAGTCTGGATATTTGGTACGAATGGGAAAAAAGAGTTTCATTAATGAAATGCAAAGCAAGCCAGGGGTGGTGGCTCTCACCAGTAATCCTAGCACTTTGGGAGGTCCAGAAGGGTGGATTGCCTGAGCTCACAGGTTGGAGACCAGCCTGAGCCAGAACAAGACTTTGTCTCTTAAAAAAAAAGAAAGAAAGAAAGAAAAATAGCCAGGTGTTGAGGCAGGCATCTGTAGTATGAGCTACTTAGGAGGCTGAGGTAAAAGAATAGCTTGAGCCCGAGTTTGAGGTTGCTGTGAGCTATAACACCAGGATACTCTACCAAGGGTGACAAAACTAGACTCTGTCTCAAAAAAAAAAAAAGGCAAAACAAATCTAAAGTCTTTTTTAAATGCAACAGTAGAAAGCAACTGTGTAAAATGGATTTATTTCATGGAGAAATCCTTTGCCCCGAATGGATTTGCAGTAATCATTTTTTAAAACCATTTCAAATCTTTTGCCCCAAAACAGATTCACGTTCAAATCACTTTTTAAAATCTTTTTTTATTTGTCTCTAACTGAAAAAGAAGATTATAAATTTCAGAGCATGTTTCTAGCATTGCCATTATGGTTTTTCTTTAATATTTTTTCTTTAAATATCTACTGTAAAAAAAGAATTGCATTTTTGATGATAATACTGTATTTACTATTCATTTTATTCTAGGACTAAATCATATAAAATAGGTTTGTGAGGGTTCTTAGCTTTTGGCTAGATTAACTGTGATTGTTCTTTTTATTTTTTGACACAGAGTCTCACTATGTCACCTCGGTAGAGTGCTATGTTGTCACAGCTCACAGCAACCTCTAACTCTTGGGCTTAAGCGATTCTCTTGCCTCAGCCTCCCACATAGCTTGGACT